GGGGGGGGTGTCCCCGGGCCCGGTCACCCGCTCGGTGCCCGGAGAGGCGCGTCCGTCCGCGCTCCGGGGCCACCCAGGGACCCAGCACCGGGAGTCTGTCTATGCCCAGGGCCGCTCCCGCCGCTCCCGCCCATCTCGGGGGGGGGGAGCTCGTCCCAGAGCACCGGCAGCACCCCCCGTCCCGGCACCGCGGAGACTCGGTACCAGCAGGGGGCAGCAGAGTCTGGAGAAACCGGCACCCACCCGGGGTTTAGGACCCTTCCCTGGCACCCACCCGGGTCCGGGACCCTTCCCTGGCACCCACCGGGGGCTCAGGACCCTTCCCTGGCACCCACCCGGGTCCGGGACCCTCCCCTGGCACCCACCCGAGCTCAGCATCCCTCCTGAGCACCCACCCAGGTCCAGCATCCTTCCCCAGCACCCAGTGGGTGCGAAGCATCCCTCCTCCCCGTGCCCCACCACCCCTGGCTGTGCGGAACAGGGGGAGCTGAGCCCCCCACCAGTGAGGAGCCGGGCTGGGGAGCCCTGCGCCACGCGTGGAGCTCAACCTGCCCCAAAGCCCTTTGTGTCCCCATGGCAGGGGCCGTGGCACAGGGCTGGGGGACACGTTGGGGAGCCCTGGCATATGGAGAATCTGAGCTTGCGGGGGTCACCCCTGGCTCATTGGGGTCACACTGGCACAACGGGGGGCAGCTGGGCTCCCGTGCCCTGTGCCAGCAGCAACGGCCCCGTTGGTGGTGGTGGCGGCCCCGGTGGCTGCGGCGGTGGCCCCGTTGGTGGAGGTGCCGGCACAGGCCCCGGTGCAGCTCCCAGACGACGGCATCGGCACGCTGGCCCCACCGGCACACCCACATACCAGCCCGGTTGCCAAGAGGTGGGGAAGCAGGGCTGGCGGCTGGGGGCCGAGGCACTAATGGGATTAGGGCCACTGGGTCAGCGCCGGGCTGGCCCCCGCCAGACAAAGCCGCTGGCCCGGCCGGCGGGAACGTGCCGGTGCCAGCTCGGTGGCTCTCAAACTGCTGGGGGACCCCGGTTACCCCCGCTCCAGCTCCCCCCAAACAGGAGGAACCCAGGTTTCTGGGCAGCCAGCATCGCACCCTGGCTTGGTGGGGTCCTGGGGGCCAACAGCCCCCCAGCCACCAACTTAGAGGGGACAGGGCGATGGGGACAGCTGTGCTGGCCCCAAATGGGACTCAGCCAGTCCCCTGGCCCGTGGGGGGGGGG